ATTTGGTTCGAAGAAGGTGCTGCTGTCGTAAGTTACCTTATGATAACCCGTGTTCCACTGTAGCCGCAATGCATGAACTTCCTTATCGCTTAGCTCGTGTCCACCAATTCCCCAATAAGCCCAAATATGTCCCAGACCATTGTTAGCACCGGCAGTGCATCTAAAGTCTTTTCCCACAACGCCGAACTCCTTGCAAAGCMTGTCATAGGCTGGAACATCGTATCTGTTATCTCTAGGATAAAACGCAGCATCTCCYGGCAATGCAGTAACGCCYATCTCATGCAGTATTCTTCTAACCGTGAAGTGAAAATGAAACATGAATATTGAAWYCTTCATCAAGTTCGCACTCACACCGCAGSCGCTAGTGGCGCACCAAACCGCAAAGTTTAGTTGCTGTGGCCAGTATCGCATGTTAGGACCTCTCTACCATTCATGAGATTCCTTAGCGGTGGTATGAACAATGGGAACTTCTTTGAAGATATCTCGCACCTTAGCAACAAAGGAATGGTCGTTAGAAATCCGCATGTTAAACGTTAGGTCCAAACTTGGGTGTTCATCAAATGGAACCGCAGGTATCGGATAAGTACTGGTACCAAGCAACAATTCCTTCGACCAACCGGGTTTCGTAGGTCTTTCCTGCTTGGGCTTATGTTCAACATAACCAGGCGGTAAAATCTTAGGATGCTTCAGCTGAGAGTCTATCTGATCGACCAGCGTAGGTTTCAAATCCTCATTGCTGTACATTCTGGAGCCGTTGAAGTAAATCCCATCGGGTGTCCGCTCAAACTTACTAGGGTCTGCGTGCGGAAACATCTTCCTAAAGGCCCTCCAATTCCAGTAATCTCTGTTGTCGTGATGTGGCTGCTCCTCAATGTCATTCCCAAAAGCGTCGTACATTAGTATATATAATGGATGTTATACCATCGGCATTGTACCATAATTTGTATCCTGAGCTTCCTACCCAACGAATTAAACGCAGAGAATTTCAGACTTAACAAAGCAAACTTAATACTGGCTTACTTGGAAGGGCAGACAAAACACTACGAAAAAGTTAGGAAGAAGTACGTTAGAGCCCGGAGTACGCTACATAAGATTGCGATAACTTCTGGATCCATATCCGTCGTGTGGACGGGCTCCGGCGTTGCTACTTCGCTTACTCGACCCGGAGTAATTGTTGGGGTTCTTTTGGCCGGCGTTGGGGCAGCCTGTGGTATCATTTCCGCTGTTGCTACGGGTATTATGAAACAGTTGTCTAGCAAAATATCAAAACACGACACGACAATAGCTCTGTC